TTTTAACCATTGCCTTTGTTGAAACTTAACTCCCTTATGGACTGCCTTTAACTTCATACCTTTTTTAAGATAAAACTGTAATGCCTTAATATGGACTACATAATTGGTTTTATCCATTTGGTTTAGTATCAGTTTTGGTTGTTTCTCATCCTTTGCTTCCTTTCCATTGTAGTAATGCTTGTGTAATTCCCTCTGATGATTTGATAGTAATTTCTCTTCTACATTCATATTTTCAGGTGCTAATGGATAATCTGACTGTTCATCGTGTATCTCTTTAGGATATTCTAAATCAACTTCCAGTATGTAGGCATTGTCATCGTTTTCATTCCAGTCTTGTATCATCTTTTCTGTCAGTATCTTCTTTATCCATTTCAGTTCTCCAATGGGTAGTTTCATTGACATTGCCAGTCCATAAAGGTTATTAGCATCTAAATAACTGATATAATTAGATGGTCTGTTTTCATCATATTCGTCTTCCATATACTTATTGTTTGCTTTCGCTTCCTTATGACTTACCTGACACATTCCACCTCTCAAACCCTTCTCAATCATTTCATACATAGTCTGGTCTGTTATTGGTTCTATCACAACGCCTGTTTTTAACAACATAGCGTCCCAAGCAAAGTTAGGAAGGGTAAAATAATGTGCTGGGTCTAATCCATAGTATTCCAAACAAAGGTCTCTAAAATTTTCAAAGACATCAGTGAGTAATAAAACATCGGTTCTCAAATATAAGTCGTGGTATTGACCCAGATTTCTTATACCGAAATGTTCCCAAATTTTCTGTGCTCTTTCGTATTCATCATCTTCAATATTACTTTCGGTAAGATTGCTGTAAAACTTTTCTTTCGGTGGTAGTTCTCTTTCTCTGAATTTATCAAAAGAAGTGAAGTAGTCATAAGGATAAACACCTTTATCAGTCAGTAAATCTAAATCCTCATCATTGCTTACATAAGGGTTTCTTTTACTATATTTGAAGTTGTTTTGCCAGTTTTGTTTCTTCTCTCCATCTTCGTATTTACTCAACTTGACTAACTTATCCAATGAAGACGATAAGAAACTGAAACTGTCCTTGAAACAAAGGTTTTTAAAAGCAAAAGTGATGAACTTTTCACTATTCAATGCTATTACATCTATCTTCGCTCTTTCTGACAGTTCATTTGCTCTCTCAATGATTAAATGACTGTCGTAGTTCTTCAAGTTATGAAGGAAGACCGGAATTTTGTAATATCTCATTGAAAACTGTAAATTACAATCATCGTGGGCGCATCCCCTATACTTTCCCGTAAAGTGGCAATGGTCTCTACATTTTTTATCTCCTTCTTTGAAGTCCATTCCACATATAAAGCATTTCGTCGCTGTTTTAAAGTCTCTCCAATCGTCTGCCCTCATAATTATATCCTTGTTTTCTTTCATCTTTTCCATTATCTTATCTTTAACTTCAATCATCTTTTTAACAAAAACATCCATACAATCTTCACCTCTGTATAAGAAAGGTTCATTTGAATTATCAATGGAATTGACAACATTGATCATAAAACCGCAGGGTCTATGATGTTGGTATTTATCAGTCTTCATTTCTTTCGTTGAAACTGTCCCCGTTCTTGTAGTCAAACATTCAAAATCAGCATAAATAACAAATGGCGCTTTTAGTTTTTTATAGTGATTTTTGAATTTGATGAAGAACTTGTCGGGGTCATCAGGGTCAAAAGATGGCATTTCTATTCTCTGTCCTTCAACTGCCATACATCCTTTTTCATTGTGTTCATCTAAAAGCGCTTGTGATTGAAAACCGTGCCGACAGTGAAAACAATGAAAAAGTTTTGCTTTGTATTTGTTGGTTTGACTTCCTATCAGTTTATCATAATCTTTGATATATACATAATGGTAGTCATCACCGTCTTCAAGTTTCAAAAGACTTATCTGATGAGTTGCTCTTTGAACCTTCGTTTTTCTATAAAGTAGGATTGACTGTTTGTCATCTTCGGGGTTCAGAAAATAAACATTCACTGCTACTTTTCCATCATTGTTTTCTTCAAATGTATCTATATCAATGTTTGATGATGGAAAATTTACATTAGTCCAATTTAGTTCATCATTTAGATTTTTGTAGTGAGACAACCGTTCAGGATGGTCTTTCTCATAAACCTTACATATACCGCATTGAATGGAATACTTGAAGCATTTGTCATCCTTGTTTTTGATGTTGATACACGCTTTCTTGTTTTGAACCCATTTAGGTAAAGGTATGAACTTACCTCCACGAGTTGGATTGTATTTATCAAAATTGAACTTTATTTTATCCATCTGCGTTAGGACTAATCCACTCTCCGACGCTTCTAATACTTCCGCTTGGTGTTCTATGTCAGTTGCCATTTGGTTTAAGACGTTGGTGATTTCCTCTTCATTGGTTATTTCATATCTTCTACTCCTAACTTCTCTTCTTACGACTTCATTGGTCTTCTTGCTCTTGAAGTTGCTGAATGTTTGTAATAAAACCTTCATTCCCTTATGCTTTCGTAAGTATTCTTTTATCTTGAAGTCTTGATATTTCAAATATTGGATTGCTTTGACGCCTTTAACTCTAATGTCGCTGATTGCGTAAGATGATGTGTAGTTTTTGAATGCTGACTGTTCGTCGGTGATTGTTGCTTTGTATCTTTTTTGAATTCCTGTTAGTGCTTTGTTCTTATCTAAATTTATCCATCTAATGTCTCTCTTCTCTTTCAGTTCATATTTTTTGTAGTCCATAGTCTGTCTTATCTTGTTGAATTTAGTTTTCAATCTGTTCGTGATGGGTTTATTTCTTTCAAAGTTGTAGGTCTTCTCACCTATTTTCAGTTTCTTCAATTCTTGTCCATTCCGTTTGAGTATCTCGCCTGTTTCACTTGATAAAACGTAATCTAAAACTATCTGGTCAGAGCGTTCCATTATATTATATTCTATATTATTATTAGTATGTGTTTCTTTAAGTAGTTTTTCATTTGGATTTGTGAGTTGAGTATGTTGAGACTGATTGGATTGTTGCTGGATTAGATTTTGAGATAAAATTTCATTTTTTAACCTTACACCCTCACCCATTTTCTCCTTAATATAATAAGGTAATATTTCTTTAAGTAGTTTTCGGGTAATGGTCTGCTGTTGGAATTTCTGGAATTGAGGTTGGAAATCAACCTAAAAACGTTCTCATTAAAAATCATCTTTAATGAGAAGGTTTGTATATTTCATCACTGGCATCTGCTGTTCATACACATGTTGGTTTGACGGTGTTTTGATAGATTGGATTTGCTTGTGATGGTTCGTCCGCAGTCGGGGCAGGTAAAAGGTGTTGATAATTTCTTTTGATAATACTTTGAAAAATAATCTGGGTCTAATGGTTTCTTGTCGTAAGTTCCGTCAGGTTGCCATCTTCTGGATGTTACTGTTGGTGGATTGTGAGAGTTGCTGGATTGGTGTAGTGCTTGTGCCATTTGGTCAAAAAGGTCTTCGTCCATTTCTTGCTTGTGTCCATCAATTACCATATAGCAGGGCATCTTCAATTCTTAATTATATATGGCGTCTTGTCTTTAAGTATTTTTGGGTCTTGTGTCTGAAAAATTGGGTTTTTTAAAAGTGTCCTAAACTGATGTTTTTTTAAGTCTGAAACTGTGGTTTCAGGACACTTGTTGAAGTATGGTTAGTTTGCTTCAAAAACTGTGAATGAAACGGTTCGTCCCGCTTTGAGGTCATCGTCTTATAAAACATCCTCACTTGTTGAAGTCGTCGTTGAAGTCGTCATCTCATAACATCCTCGTCGCACGTCCTAACACAAACAACATCAACCGAAAAACAAAAATATATATGGAAGTGAATGGAGGGGTATGCCTTCATCCTAAAACCCACAGAGCAGTTCGCTCCCTCCTCCATTCATCTTCCTTTTTGTATATCGTTCGCATCATCCATCGGCGTCATCTTAGTTTAAAGGTCGTCGTCCATCACTATCATCATAAATAAGTAATTATATCATATATATATATCAAAAAAACAACCTGCCCATCACCAACCTCCAACCACCAAAACCGACCAATCCACCACCCGATGCTTGATGTTCTCTGCGACGTCCCTTCTGACAGACAGATAAACAGACGTGTTATGTATGTATGTGTATTTATGTATGTGTATGTGTATATGTGTATGAGTATGTATATGTGTATGTGTGTGTGCTTGTATGTGAGTATGTATGCGTAGAAATAAACTGCTGTGTATATGTATTTCACCAGGTTTTTCGTTGAAATGTTCATTGAAAGAAGGTTTGTCTTTGAAGACTGTTTGGCAAAGTTTCACGTTCCATACTCTGGTTGAAACCGTGTCCTACAATCAAGTCTTGAAGACTGCTTCCAGTGTCATACCTTCCACCCTTTGGTTGAAACCCACCGCCGACCGTTCCACCCCTTGTGAAAGATGATGATATTGATATCTTCATAACCTCGGTGCGGGGTGATGGCAACCAAAACAAAGGCGGTCGGCGTGAATGGAACTGACTACCAACAAACACACATCCAAACACTCCAAAGTCAGTTCGGCAAACAATTCTTTTCACTGGCGTCGGCAGAAATGAATTCAAGTCTTTACTGTCGGTTGGATGGACTTATAAAGTGTTAAATGCCATCAAAACCACGCTGACAGCCTTTCAAGCAAAGGCTTGAGAGATGACACTGGTATAGACCAAATGGTGTCAAATTAATGATGCCACGGTTTTCTGTGCTTGTGTCATAGGAACAGGTCGTGCAAAGAGACAGTCCAACTGGCAGGTCGGTATAAAGTTTCTTCATACCGAGGGTATTGAAGGTCTTTATACCGAGGGTATTGAAGGTCTTTATACCGAGGGCATAAGGGTAGTCAATACCACTATACCGAGGGTATAAGGGTAGTCAATACCACTATACCGAGGGTATAAGGGTAGTCAATACCACTATACAGAAGATGCAGGGTTCTTTATACCGGTCGCAATGGACAGGGTCTCAACAAATTACACAACGGTTTGACCCTTCATTTAAGGCATTTGCCCTGTTGGCATCACCGTTGTCTTCCCCGTTTTGGTTTCGTTCGGCAACACGGCGCAAGATGGACTGGTAGTTGATGGCGCTGTCAATGTCCTTGATGAACATCTCATTGTCAAAATTGACGGTTAGACCATTGCTACACTGGTTGTATGACCTTGCGTAGCATTCAGTGTATGTAGCAAAGATGGTTTCCTTCAAAGAAGAAAGGTGCTTCACATAGCCATCAACCTTGTCCAACTCATCCATAACAAAAGGAGCGGTTTGGATGAGTTTGTCCTCTGTGATAATCTTTGATGATGACCTTTTGTTGCCGTGCTCATCCACATTGCCAAACACACGCTTTAGCACCTTCAACTTGTCTTCGTCCAAGCCCTCCAAGACCTTTTTGATTGTCCCATCTTCGGTCATCACTTGTTGTTTCAATGATGTCATTTTGTCCTTGATGGGTTGAACAATGCCCACCAACTCCTGCGGACATTGTTCCTCAACTGCCTCAAAGGATGTCCTCTTGCGGACGGTTTCAACTGCTCTTTTGACCAGTTGTTTGATGCCCTCCTCACGCTTGAGATGTGTTTTCAAGACGCGACGGTTTGACATTTTGTCCGATGTTGCTGAAAGCAAATTGAAAGATTTTGAAACAATTTGAGCCAAAAACGCTCTGGGTTGAGATATGCCAACATCTTTTCAATGACATTTTCCAAAATTTGATGACAGCACATCATCCAATCTTTGTCAAAACATTCCAAAGACATCTTAGTAATTTCAATCGCTTCAGGGTCTGGTTGATTTGAAAGACTGCTTGGCAAGTGCTCTCCTTGTTTTAAACAAGGCCTGTTGTTCAAAACCTTGTTTCTGCAAGTCTCACACACAAAGCCCGCGCCCAAGCAACACAGTACTTTTGACAGCAGCCAACTGAGGTCTCACCAAAACCTACGCTTAGGTTTTTTTGACAAAGCTGCGATGAGGGTGTCAAACTTCTGGTCAAACTTCGTCTCGGCAATCTCCACCCTCTTCTCAATGGCAGTCACCTGCGCCGCGGTGCTGTCTTTCAGAGCCGTCACCTGCGTCTCGGTGCTGTCTTTCAGAGCCGTCACCTGCGTCTCGGTGCTGTCTTTCAGAGCATTCACAGCCTGGCCAAGAAAGGCTGTGGCTGACGCCAACAGAGCGGCTACAACAGTAAAGATGATGCTGGTGGCTGTCCCTGCGTCAATTCTAGTTCCTTCAGTGCTCATGGTTTGAGCCGTAGCCTCTTGACCACCCAGTAGCATCAACTGGATGGGCAATGCAGCAAGGAGGCTTTGCCGCTGGCCTACTCCGACCGCCGGAGGCGGAGCAAAGTCCTGCGGCATTGAGCACACCACAACCAGCAGACCAAGCAGCAACGAGCGAAGTGGTCGCTTCATGCCCTGCAAGTCAAGCTACCAAATGATCGAATTTGCATTAAATTATGTTTGTGCCAAATCAGCTGCAGAAGCCCTTGCAACTTCAACGCAGTTGTGCGAACAATGCCCTGCTGAAAATCTTTACATCACACCAAAAACAGAAAACTGACCATCTGAGCAGCCCGACGCAACAAACGAAGAGGTAGCGGATGAAGTTGTAGACAGTGGGAAGTGCATGAGCGGAACACGAAAAACAGATGGAAGAACAATAGAAAGCAAGACCAACAAATTATAATAAAATGAAAACCCCAACAACCTCAACAAACCCTGAACCAAACAATGATATACCCTAAAATAACAAACAAGGATAAGATGAAACGTTTTTACCAAAAATGGCTTAGAACATACCAGACATAAAACATCAACACCAAGGAACAAATGTCCCCTCTTAACATAAAAACCATAACAGCCAACACATAACGCTGGGATGTCCTAGCATCCCCCTTTTACCATTTTTTCCCCCACCTTGTGCAGCCAAAATGATTTCCAGGATTCATCCAGTAAACTTAAAAAGCAGTTTCTTCGCTGAATGATGCTGAATGACTTTAGACCAGGTATCTGAAGATTCAACACACCACTGTCACTGACACTGAGAATTTTCCCACACGTGAGCGAACTCCTTCGCCAAGATTAAGCAGCACGAAGCAGCATCAGCCTCATCACTGCACGTCGATCTTTGTCGGGTTATGTCCATGTGCTACGTAACAATGTTAGATAATGTTGGTATCCAAGAATTATCAATACAACCACTGTACGATCCGAATGCAAAGAAAGATTCCAATGAATTCAATGCTCGGATCTTCACTGATCTTGACTGATCTTCACTGCACCCGACGAAAATGGCAAGCCATGCTGGTGGCGCCTGCTTCACGGCTTGATGGAGGGCAGTTTCCCCTTGTGAGTCCCATTCCTTGCCACAGATCCCAACACAGTCGCCGCTTCGCCACATGTTTTTATCGGTGCAGTGCCGGTCCTGCAGGGCTTCAAAGTCAGACCTCGCCAGCTGCAGCATCTGATTCCAAAAGATCACGGTCAACACATGGAAGGCCAAACAGCCAAACAAATGTGCTGAAAAACACACCAACAATAACAGTAGTTCAATCGATTATCAATTTTAATAATTAGATCAAGCCGTCTCAAACAGTCTCAGATTCTGCAAATTTATGCAACCACTGCAACAACATGTAACAAATCTGTAGTAAGTCTGTAACAAGTCTGTAACAACATGTCATGAATGTAACAATCACCGTGTCAAGTCAGTCAAGTCTTTGCGGCCTTGCCAGGATTGCCCGGCTCACCTCCACCATCCGACGCCTGGCGACAGACATGTTAGACAGATATGTGATATGTTAGTTAAATGGTTAGAAAATGGTTGTCCAGGTAGTTCAATGTGGCGGTGAATGTTGCTAAATTGCTGTTGATATTGTTACTGGATTGCATACAGTGATTGCCGCTCATTGCTCATTGATCTTTTGGACAAATCATTGCCGATAGGGCCATTTCTCACACAATGCGTCAAATCACGACCTTTGAACAAGTGAAGTCCTCATAAGGGCAAGAACCGTTTTAAAGCCCCATGTACTGCTCACAATTTGCGTGGACTATGCGAAGCATGTACCCTTCGTAGTGGTTTGCCACAATCACAAGCAAAAAGTATCAAACGATGGCAACATAGTCAATATAGTCAAAAGGGTTTTAACCAGGAGATGTCGAGGATCGCCTCACTGAGTGGTGCAATGGAGTGCCGCTATCATCTGTCCGATTCAATTCCTGACCGGGCGATCTGGCTAAAATTTGGGCAGCAAACTGTTGATTTTAAGGATTGATAAGTAAAGAAAAAAACATGTTTTGACCACTTGATTGCATTCAGAGTGAGCTGGCTGTACGGCACCACATGCAAACCTTTGATCAAAGACAGCAGTCCTGCACAGTCGCCTCTTGGACTCGCTCAAGGCAGTCAGCCTGATGGAGAATCATGGGTTTCCTGTGAATTTCGGACTGCCAAAGCTTTCAAGGAAGTTGACATGAAACCGTCGTCTTTGGCTTGACCAGCCATAATATTATACCATGATATACCATGTATTATTCTGTGAAATCGCAATATTCAACAATTTTGTCACACCTATGAATCTCTTAGTGCCCAATTTTGCACTTGCGCAGCCTCGCTTCCGAGCCGCATCACTTCACAGAGACTGAGCCTTAGCAAAGTTCGAGCCAATCGGACAGAAATCCGAATCCCGAAGGTTCTGTCATCAACAGGGTCAAAAATGTTTAAATATCGAAAAATAGCACCTTGCTTCTCCTTGCTTCCAAGAAGTGCTCCACACGGTTGGGAAACAAAAAGCTGACCAGTCCCAGCAGCTCTTGTCTCATGGGCATCTTGGAGTATTGCGACCTGATCAGTTTTTCCCTGGAGCCCAGAGGTCTTCCCAGTAGTCGTATATCTACATGTTTTACATGTTCATGATCCAGCTTTTAGGCGAAACTCAAGTTCGGCCTGAAGGTGGTGGCGAGCTGCGCCAATGCCATGCTAGGTACAACCTGGTCCAGTTTTGGAAGTCATCCCAGCGCAAATCTTCGAGAGTGTTGTATAAGTTGCTGGGGGATGCCTAGCGAATGATGGGGGTTGTAACATGTTGAAACATGGATTGACCTGGAAATTCATTCTGCTGTCGTTGACTCTTGCTTCCTTCCAACGACACCGCTAAATCACAGTGGCTTGCCCTGCAGAAGTTTGGAGAAGATCGGTTGCTTGTCATTGCAATTAACAGTTACAGTGTGCATACTGTATATTACAATAATATTGTACTTGTCATTTCACTATGATGTATATGTAGTGATGTAGTGTGAGTAGTGTGTACATTGTAACTATATAATCATGTGTGCAGCGCAACCTCCTCCCACAGTCCCCCCACAGTCCCGCCTTCGCAGGCAGGCCTGGTAGTGGCCTTTCTAGGGATAGCCTAAGTGGATTCGGATATGCAAATATGGCCATATCGCCAGCCATGCTAGTCATATTTGGATCGAAATCATCAAAACATAATGATCACCTGGTTAAGCCAGTTTGGCCAAGTTGCTGATCACCTAGAAAGTGATGATTCCACCTAAAGTCTGTGGCCTCAGAATGACGAAGGCAGGACTCCAGCGTGAAGGTCAATCAAATTCGCTGGTTTCAAAATCCATTGCCCATGCGAAATTCAATGTGTCTTGGCTGTAGAGTAGATATGAATATGAGTATCCATCTCACTTACATGTCACACATTACTTCAGCGCTTCATATGTGGCAAAGCCTTCAGAGCAAAAAGAATGCATTGGCATTTACAGGACGTTGCTCGACAAAGACTTTCAACCACAGTTGAGAAATTGAAAGCCATGGAATGCCATGGAATGCCATGGAAGTCCCGGATTCCTGTTCCAGAACGGCCAGAACGATAGGGAATCAAAGGGATCAAAGGGTAACCAGTCACCAAGGTTTCGCCAAGTTGTCGCAGCCAGGGTACCAACACAGACTCCTGGGAACCCACGGTGCACGGCGTGCACGAAGATCATGATGATCATGTCTTCGAATTTGTATTCGCACTATGAACAATGACAACAATGACAACAATGACAACAATGACAACAATGACAACAACAACTCGATGTTGCAGCCTGAAAAGCCTGAAGAAACACCATCATGACATGACATTTCGATCATATCTCTGACATTATCTCACTGTCATTTTGGTTCTTCCACATGCCATGGTTGAAACATGGTATATGGGGTATGATCACCCCGTCACTATTTAGGGATTCCCTATATAATGGGTATGTTTTATCCCATACAGCATCTTTTATGGAAAATAATTTCGACTCACAATGGCTTTGTGAAAGATGCTACCCGAAACAGAAGTCCTCGTTTTTGGGGAAGGAATTGTACAGTGGCATTGCCTATCGCACGATGATAAGATGCCGACTGATCCAGTCCGGAAAGCTCTCAAGTTTGCAAGTCAGAACTGCCATGGATACAATGACTGAATTAAAAAATGAAGGAACGATTCAGCAGGTTAAAGTTGAAAGTGAGCTCTGAAGCTTGCACGAAAGGATTTGCAATCAAGGATCAATGCGGAGAGGCACACCACGTGCTCGTTTGAGTTTCAAACTCTAAAGCCTGAGATGCCTAGATCTTTTGCCCTGTTTGCATGAAGAGATGCTGGTGCTTTGCATGTTGCCCAGAGCCTTTGTAGGAGTCAGTTCCCCTCTTCACAGTGTACTCGCAGCGCTTGGCTGGACTCCTCCAATGAAACGCGAGGTATCCCAGCACTGCACAAAACCACAGTGAACTTCTGGTGGCGCACCTCGTTCTTCCTTGTGGCAGGGATCTGTATTCAGCAAATTGCTTGAGCAACAACGCTGCCAGCCGCACTCTTGAAACATCTTGAAACAAGAGCAGGAGTCTCTTTTGATTTGGGCTTAACACGTGTCCAAGTCCAGAAACCAAGGCTGGAGATTGTTGCAAAGCTTTTGTAACCTGCTGACCCATTGTTGAAGTCAGAACCCATCAAATCTCTCCATTTGCTTCATGTTCACCAAATGTTTCTACGGCGTGGGCTTGCCCTGCAACACCCAGGTGAAACTGCACGAGGTTGCCATGGAGTCTTTTAGAAATCCAAAGAAGAAGCTCGCCGTGATCATTTGTTCTGAAATGTGCAATTGTTCGGAAACTGTTCGCAATTCCTGCAAAGTTTTCATTGGTTTCTCTGACTTGATCTCTGGTCTGGTGGAATACAATATGCCAGGCTTCAAGCCACGATTTTTGCATGGTGCATCTGCAGCCACGTGGGACAGGCTCCGCGGGAATGCAGCACTGCGCAGAAGCTTTCAGGCCTTTCAGGACTTGAAACTCCACAAAAAGCCACACCATCTGCTCACCAGAACAATTCAGAACAATGACACAATCTCTTGCTTTCTCGGGTTTGTCACTTTGCCTTGTCACTTTTGTCACTTTTGGCACTTTTGGCATTGGTTGGCTTCAGATGTTCAGCTTTTCTTTTCTGGCCTCAGAGTTCATGCCCTCGCCCCTTGCTGGATCTCCACAGGCCACCAGCCATCCGAGGCCCCGACCCTTTGGAAATCTTTGTTGGCTGCGCCTTGGGAGTATCACTGTAGCACTGTATCACTACAATTCAATACAGTCATTTCAGTGCTCTGACATGCGGTGACATGCTGCAGCTCATTTTTGCCGGGACTAAGAGACCGACGGATCCCGTTCACCAAGCGACCAGCGCGGCCGTATCTCAACGTGATTATCAGCTCCTCAGCAAGAAAAAACGGCGGAACTTGCATCTTTTGCAGTCCTGGTTTGCACTGGGAACCCGGCCAGTCTTAGAGGGTGGCTCCTTCCAAGACAAGGTTCAGCAGAATGATGGAGGAGCGGACGGTGTTGCCCATGTTGTGCATGTTATGGGAGATCTTTGAAGATCCAAACTGACGTCTTTGACACGAGAAGAAGAAAACTCATGTCATAAAGTGGCTTCGCTCTCCTCATAAAGACCCAACAGGAAACGCTCGATGCCAGCCCAGGCCTGTCTTGTCACAGCAAACGCGACACAGAAGTAAGCATGTGGAAAACATGAAACAACCATAGTATCATAGCGAAAACCATCCTGTAATCAGATCAGTACTGTATGATCTTTGAATCTCTTGAAGCACTGAGCCCAAAACCACCATTACACCATTGTCAACACAAAGCCTCAGCAAATCCGTCGTTTCGAAGCAAACCTCTTGCAAGAGTTGGATTGTCTGATCGCCGTCTTTCACAGAATGCCGTTATCTAATGTTATCTCATGTCATCTCCAACTTTCAAAATAGATTTCGCCACACCAGCATCATGGAATCGACGTGATCCATGATCCATTAAAAATACCCCCGATCAGATCCTATCTCATTATACTATATAATTGGTTGATAGGTGTCCCTATTCTTGGTGATCATATCTTCCAATAAATTAGCTAGTAATAGGATGTAATAGGTAGATATAGGTAGTATAAGTCCTTATCTGTTCACCCAACCAGGGTACTTTTACAGCTCGAGGCACCGAGGTGGTGGACACCGCATCTGCAAGCTGTGCTCTTCTGCCACCTGAGAATCTGTGACAACATGTCATGTCAATGTGACAACTTCAAATACGTCCATAAAATTCCATAAAGGATCCTAAAATCCGGGAAATGTAATGGAAATGTTTGGAAATCCATCAAAAAATAGTCAACACAACGAGTTTGGCAAGCCTATCTTTGGGCAATTCCTTCACCAATCTACCCAACCAACCACAACTTCAAGTGTTCAACTCTGCAAATAGATTCAGATTGATTGCTTGTAAATCTGAAACAACACCACATTGACATCCACAAATCACCTGAATCGCTTGGCGAACGTTGATAGACTCGGAAAATCACCTTTCATCATCCTGTCTGATATGATATTTTTCCAGGACCCCCAGATCGAAATGGACAAAATGAGACCGTTCTTTGACTTCTCAAGATCCAATCTAAAGGGCGATTATGGGTGGATAATGCAGAGACAACAGAGATGGCCCAGCTGCCCAGCCTCTTCCAGTCCTTTTCGGACTTCTTTGTTTGCTGCCACTCCACCTGCCACAACCTCACAGTGAAGCTCTCCGCATAGCAAGCTTGATAAAATCTGGGCTACAGCAAAGTCTGCGGTTCATAACGTTGCCTTAGGTCCGCTATCTCAGGCAAGCACCAGCCACTTTGTGCTTGGCTCAAGCTCCATTGCCCAGCCTGCATGCTGCATCAGTGACAAACAGATGTCCAAATTAAATTTCCATATTTGAAGAGTGTGGCACGTTTCTTTCACTGCACAAATTCACCACAACTGACAACATACAACTTAAAAACGGCGTATCAGCTGCGTAACATGCTGTGCAAAACAACCTCAACAAATTCATCTGCACTTGTCCGTGCTCCAGCCTGCAGCACGTGAAGCACGTTCACACAAGTGCTGCACGGCCACATTTTGGAACCTGGCCCGGCACGCCCACAACACATCCCAGGTTCACATCAATGTACACACGGGATGGCTGGAAACATCATGAAAAATCTACCGACCAAGCCCTATAGTATTCGTAGTCCCGCAGGAAAAATGAGTGCCAGAATCACGCTGCTGCAACGTCGGCTTTGGCTTTGTGAAGATCCTCCTTCATCCGAAAGTGAAATGAATATGTGCATTGCTGCAATCTGCAGGATGCGTCTGCATGTTTACAACACCCCGCAGGGTTCTGCATCCTGTCATAGCTTGCCACAACTTGCCATAACTTCAACGCAGCCGTCCTCTGCGAGAGCAGATGCCTTCGCGCTAGGCAACTGCTTCTCAACAAGTGTCCTCAGAAGAATGTGGTTTCGAACCGGTCGTGCGGTAGGACATGTTCTTTGGAAAAAAAAAAACACACAAGGTCATATTATGAACAAACAACATAGTCGATTGAAAAATGGTTGGAGTCAACAAATGAGATTTCAATTCCGCCGACGGCGAATTGTGCGCTGACTGACCACAGTGAGGATGCCAATGGCTCCTGACTGCTGTTTTCAATCCCGAGAATGAATAATCGCAGCCATCCATCAATGCCTTGCGGAGGTATGCGGAGGTGGGATGTCAAGAACAAGGTGGTTGTGACTCAAATCACTGCCTGTTGCCTTGTGCCTCAATCTCTTAATGGGAAAAAAAACAGTTGGGTCAAAACTGTCATCAAAGATCCCCACACCAGGCAAGTTTGGATGTGATTCTAGACTACCTTATTGTAAACACATCTGCCAAATAACCCGATCCTTCACTGATTTGTTCGGTCCTGTAGGCATATGACATATGACTCAATGCATGTTATTACTCTCAAATTGTTTCGTTGCCACTGGCACATACTGGCATTCATTCAGGCGTTTTGGCGTGATTCGTTCCTCCTTACATGGCCTTGTCCCGGGTCTTCGACAATGGCCTTGGGAGCACATGAACCTTGCAGGGTCCAGTGCACTCAATGATCAAAATGTTCGACATCAAGAAAAAACTACAAAATTGGAAAGACCTGGGACTCTGGGACTGCTCTGTTCATGAGATGTTTTCAATCTGTTGGAAGACTATGGAAATTTGCATTGACCACAAACACGCCCTGGTGCCTTCGGATCACCATCCTTTGCCAAACGTTCCAAGTGAGGTCCTCCAGGCACCTCAAGTGTGGGGGGGCATTGGTTTACAGATTTTAACATTCTATGTTACATAATATTACATATATATATATAGAGAATATATATATATATATTATATATATATTCTATATATATATTCTATATTTTCTGTGTTTGATTTCAGAAAGCACATCTTTCCCGTGCCAGCAAATCTGTCCGCTCTGCAATGGTGCCATTTGTTCATCTTTGATTGGATTGTTTGCACTTCAGTGCCCCAGTGATAGATAAATCAAGAAAAGAAATGTTCCATGATCATGTTTGATTTTGAACAATCGATTAAACACAAAAAGAAACAACATCCGAGGAAAAAAAAAACGTTGTGGACAATTTGTTGAAAAAGATGCCATCATCATTGCCAACGATATATATTATATATGTAGTTCAAATCAAACGCGACTTGCTCAGGTTATCTGCAGTCACGTCCCTTATATAAGGTTTTAAGTTTTAACTAACTAAGGTTTTTGATCATCAGAATATGTAATCTAGTATTGCAAAAAAACACATCTGAATTTGCCGTCCCCCTGCCAAGCAAAAAAAACACAATGCATCCAAGTCGTTACATGTTTCTGACGCGTTACAACCGGGTGCCTTTTAGTTGGCTGTCCCTCGAAAAAAACATGTCAAATGATGACAGAAAATGTGTCATTCCCCCATTTTTTCTTGAAAATGCCATCAACAAATTTGATGAGTCCAGGACCTGTGTGATTCCAAGCACCCTTGCCTTGCAGTAAAATTTGACACTGCAGCAACACGGAAGGCAGATTCCAAGGATTTGAACTGAGAGCAGCACGGTTTTGTCAAACGCCTCTCCGATTGAATCGTCGATGGTGCTTCCCAAGATAATGTGCTGTCCAACCTGGTCGCCAAATGTCGTGCGGCCGCATCTGCAATGATATCAAGGTATTGAGCTTCCGACACCCCTGGTTAGGACGGCCATGTTGTGACCCCCAGACACCAGCAACCTAATGGATCTAATGGCACTCAGCAAATGTGCAACAAAAAGCAAGGTATCCACAAGGACATTTGTGAGATGTTTCTTGGCAGAGGCGCAAACGTGATGAGCGGGAAGTCTGGCGCAGCAAAACCTAGCACGCGGGATTTTTTGTCACGCCCTGCCCCCCCCCCGTGCACTACATCAGGATCACGGCATATTGCAATGGTTTCAACAAATGCCAAGACCCTACCTTCCGGCAGCGGCGATGGTGGTAACCTTGTGACCTGGAGATCTTGGTAGTCCAGCTGCAAAACCTTTTCGGAGGAACATGGAGGATCTTAGAGCCATGCCATCATGTGCGCCTCCATGTGATGCACCCGCACCTGGCAGCATAGCTGGCATAGCTTCCATGCTGTCCCCACAGTGGAACCAATGCTGGAGCTGGTGCAGTGGGCCGAACTTGCCAGGAACACCAAGGGCAGCCTGTATTCTGCTGCTATGTGAAGGGCCTGCCGGCATGCTTGCTATCACCTCAAAGTTGCCTCGATCTCTCATCCATATCAGGTCATATCAGTCATATCATTTCCATTTCTCAACGACCTTGCGGACGCCGACTTCAAGACAAAGTCCCAGCCCAGGTCCAACCTGCAATGCTCAGCTATGCTCATCTTACTAAAGTTACTAAAGCACTCTAACGATCTCTAACGCTTTGTTTTTCTTGTTGCAGTCTCCTGTCCAGGCATGGAAGATTCAGGCCCCTTCAGAGGCCCCTCAGCTCTTTCACAGTAAGTTCCCCGCTGTGACTGCCACTCCAGTGAGTTCTGCCGCAGATAAGCCTGACGAACGTGCAGACTGAGTGATATCTTAATGATCTCAATGCGAAACGGCATGCTTACGTACTGAAGACAGCTTCAAATAGTTTATAGAATTGGAACGTTTGTGAGTCACTGCGAGGCCAAAAAACCTGCTCTTCGCAAAGCTTCCTCGACAGTCTCGTCAATGGCCTCATGAGTTCAAAACGCTTCAATATCTTCAATATGCTTCATGCCAATGTTCCATGAAAACTGCTATTGTGCCCGCACAGCAAGTGACTCTGCATCGCATGAAGACATGGAAACTTCTCGCCTTCTTGTGCCCTTCTTGAGCCAATCGGGGCACAACACCTCCCCATTGCTCGTGAATACCAGCCTGAGGCAGCAACAGGTCAGAGTTGATCCTGTGGATCATTGATGATCAGTGCACCCCTTTTTTGCACTAATGACGGTCGTGCACAAAGCCACTCCAATTTTGACAGGCCAAGCAACACCTTGCAAACGTATCAAGCAGGATGTGGGGCAAACGACGACTTCTAGCAGAATTTCTAGGGCTGGCACCTGTGAGGCTAAGGCTTCACCAAGGATCTTGCCATCACCCCTGGCAGACTGTGCTTGTATCATGGGACAATAATATAGGACAATGACAATGTCTCCTCACCTTCTGCAGTCTTGTGAATCCTTGTCCCTTTCCATATTGGGAAAGCCACGGATCCCGCTCTTAGTTGCTCACGTTCATTGTTGATCAAGTTGAGCCTTCTGATATCCTCTGACAACCCCCGACCATCTTACATACTCAAACCCCGGCATTTGGACCACCCAATGCCCACAAACTGCTCCATTCCACTTCAAAACACTTCAGCCTTAACACCGCAGCACCGGTGTCGTCGCAGCTGGACTCAATCCCAAGAATGCACCTAGGACAGTAGTAACTCAGTAGTAACTCAGTACAGTAGTAACTCAGTAACTCTCTCAAACAGGCAAAGGATGACTAGGATGACAAAAAAAACACGAGCGTCAAGAGCACTTCTGAAACATCTCCTGCCCAGGTCTGAGGCGCAAGCCAGTCGAGTCTGTTTTCAGGCAAGGCTCTGCAGTTCCTGTCGCGGCAAATGTGTACTGAGTAGCAGCAACAGTAGCAGCAACAGTGGCCATTTAATTTCAGGATCGAGACGGGCAAAAAAGGATTGTCGCCCCGATGGCTTCCTGAAGTCTATTTGTGCATGCTTTAAAAAGTCTGTATGTCAGGTGAAGTCATGTGTCTTGCTCGACTCCTCATGTTGGACTGAAAGATTGTCTCTTCGAGACATCCATAATGGCTCCCAACCAGAACCAACGGAGAAACGAAGCGGCAAAGGCGAAGTGGGTACAAGTAAGACTTCAAAACTCAACTTATATACATAGGCTCTGTTATGCAGGTGCAGATTCAGAGCATGAATGCAAAAAGTAAATAAAAGTGATGCAGCCCAAGGCATCCAAGAGACGCAGAACAATTCTTACATGCAATGGAAGAGACGAATGACAAGCTTTGGGCACAGTAGGCTTTGCATTTGGAGTTGCAGGGGAATTCTTTGTAGGAATTTCACTGACAGTTTCTACTGGTGCACCTTGGTCTCAGAATAGGCGTGCTTGACAACGGACCGGCCTCAAGCTTTGCGGCTGACACGAGATGTGCATTGTGACATGGCAGGATCAGTAAGCAGGATCAGGCGGGCGCCTTGCTACCAACACCGATGCCAACATATGATGCAAACAGGGTTCGAAATGGTCAAGTCTACCTGCACCTCAAAGTGTCGTAGTGTCTCGTAGTTTCTGCTGCTACATCAGCTGGCCTGGAATGCTGGAGTTCCAAAGCTGGCTTGCCTTGGCAGAAGCCATGGCGAGCATACCCGCACAATTCTTGAAATGGATGATTGCGTTTGTATGACTTGAAGCCAAAGGATGCCAATTGTGTGAACTTCGAAAGGTTCAAGAGATAAGCCTCAGAGCACTGGAACCAAAGTCTCGGACTGCGGAGGATCACTCGATCTGGTGCAATCAGAACTATGTAACTACGTAACTACATCAAGCAGAAACACGTGTACAGTATTGGCAGTATTGGCGGTATTGGGAATTCATTCTACTATATTCTACCTCATTTGCAGCACCATGGAGCACCTCGACCGCAAAGGGCCACCCTCCTGTCCCCATCTATCAATGGCCTCACCAGGCACAAGTTAAGCCAGAGAAGTTCTATGGTGATCGAACTGGTTCCAACAGCAACGCGAAATGTCCAAGCTGGCAACTCCTTGCCATCTGGAGCCGACCTCCAGCAAACATAATCTGGATTCGACACAAAAATGCTATGCTGCTACACAATGATCACAATGTACCAAATGCAATCACCAGTTTTCCCTTTCAACTTGCTAGAGTTGCTAGAGTGATTCTACTTCATTGCATACGTGTATGCAGCATGTGAGGTTGCTCAACTTGTGCTGGACCTGCGGTCTGTCAGTCATGCATACCTTCCCAGCAAAGTCCGGGAATTGAGGAGGGTACAGCTCTTAGAGTCACGGTTCTCCCTTCAGCCTGTCGTGTGAGCAGACAAGCCAAGCTTGCAGATTGCAGGTAGAGTGTCAGCTTCAGGTGGTTGTTCTCCCTGTCGGAGTTGTTTGCTCTCATCTAAACCCTCAGCCTCTTAGATGCTTCTTAGAAATATGCTGCAGCCTGCTACTGCTACATCAAAGGTCCTGACAAAACGCTTCGAGTTCCCGGAGCCAAACGGCTGGAAGCGCCGTTCCAACCCATGCCTGAGGGCCAAAGCCTTCGAAGGCCACTTCCAAACGAGGCGGGTTCTCCTGCTGCGAATCGTTCTTGACTAAGATACAGCTTACAAGTGAGGGTGTGGAATGGCTCAAATGAAAATGTTGCTCTATACCTCTAGGAAGGTGCGTGTGATGTGTGATGGTGTATGGTGTAACTGTAAATAAATTTGATGTGTTTGTGTGTTTGTGCATCTGCCTGTACCAATTTGCAGTGGGATGACAAGTTTGAACCATAATTCAAAGGTTCCCGGTTCAATAGTTTGGGCGATGGCAACCGGGCAGTCTGACCCAGCAAATGAAAACATGCGAAAGGAGTTGTCTTCGTCTACGATTCTTTGTGGCAGCAATCGGAAACAATGTTGGAAGCATAATGCCGACAGTGGTGGGTGGGCCTATGAATCAATGAGCAAGTGTGAATTCTGTTGGTTTCCGTCCTTGCACTCGCATGCACACAGACCAACTGTTACGCTATGTCAAGTCACTGTCTCATGATGGTCATGATTGCCAGTTCAAGCTTTCAGCGACAGAGGCACTAGCTCAATGTTTTTTTTTCTAGTGCAGAGATGTGCAGAGTAGCTACAGCACTTCTGGACACTGGGAGTGGAAAGAACGTACCCAGTATTTGTGACCAGGCGCTGTCTGACTGTTGATATTGCTGCATCGGACCAGGAGAATGCGGCTAGATGCAACCATGATATCAGATGATAATGATGATATAAGTTATAAGATGATATAAGCATATATAAGGACCAAACCGTGACACTACAATGCTCATGGCATGCAGGTGATACAGAATTACGGACTGGACCTCAAGCAACTCTCCAAACTTCGCAAAATGGTGGTGACCACGACTCTCTAGTTTGCCTTTCCGGCCTCGTCTGCAAGTTGATCTCCAAGCCGCTCTGGCCATTCAACAAGACAAACATCTCGCCAAATGGCCTGGTCCAAGTCAGAATGGCGTTGACTGACGTTGACTGGTTCAGTTGTAAGTTGTAACCCCACAGCCGGGTGGGACCTCGAAGTCGATCAACGATGCGATCTTGCCAGCGGGCAGTCGGTAAGGGTCGATGTGATGCACTGGGCCTATTGCAGCGAAGGCTTGTATCAGCTTGGCATGCTGAACATTCGAAGAACTTCTACAGCTTCTCTGCTCTGTGTCACCCCGACCCGGCAACAGATTTATTTACAATGCAAACGCCTTAAAAAAAAAAAAAAAAAAAAACTCACCTTCTATGCATGATTGGGCTACTGAAGGCGATCAAGACCCTTGTCAGTTGCCATAGGCCCAAAACTCTTTACGAACGTCGTTTAGGCCCTTGCAGTCCGGAACCAACGAGTTGTCGCTCGCTTGGAACGCTTGCACCTAAGCTTCAAGAATTCAAGGTAGGAAGCATAGGCCAAAAGGCTTGGATAGGCTTGAAAGGTCCTCCTTGGCACCGGCACCTTGGCCTTCTAGATCTTATTAGATCTTCTGGGCTGCCGCACAGGATCCTGCTTGGCCGCCATGCCTTTACAGTCATTCTGCGTCAATGATTCCGATCAAAGCCGTACAGCAGGTACTGCATGTTCTTGCCCCCTTCATAGTGACACTCAGGCGGTCACTAGAACTGCTGTAAGAAAAGTGCAGCCTCAGTCCAACAAGCGACCTGGCCTGTTAATGCCAGTCGCCCGAGATCATTTGAAGCTGCATCAGCTCGCATAACTCTGTCTGCAGCTGTGGAACAGGTACGATGGCGACGGCACGTCCAAGGCGGGATTTCCGAAGAAGGAGCGCAGAAACCCTCTGGCCTCAGCATTGGCTCAAAGTCAGAAGAGCCAGTTGGATTTGGAATATGAAGATACAATGAGGTACTTGGATCGGACACTCACGACAAAAAGCCAAGCCGAACAGCTGTCTTAAACCATCACCTTCATTCTCCTTCTAAGGGGACTGCTAAGGATGTCTTGCCAGAACCCAGTTCCCCACGGAGAAAAAACACATCTCCTGCAGGCACATCAGCCCAAAAAATTCTGAACAGACTTTGCCATTTCACAGCGTGCCCATGCGTGCCCTGCCTCGCTGCGCTTCATGTGCAAGCGCTGCACCGAGACCCTCTGTGGCATCAACATCAAGCCTTGGGCCAAGGCAGCCAAGGCCATCACATGTTTCAAGTAGTTCTTTTTGCAGGCTGAGATATGTGGTGCACCAAGTCATCACAGCAACCCAAACCTTTTTTGTCACAACTAAGCGGATAAGCCGTCCGAACCTCAGGAGACCCCAGTTCCCGTTTTGGGCATGGAATCCAGGGCCCCGCAACGAAGCTTATAGATGCAAGCCAGTGAAACGCATGACTCACATCGTCTAGAACCACCTCAGGAAAGATCCACAACACCACCTTGAATTTGTGTTTTGCTGTCATTTGTCACGCTTGGGTTTCGTCCATCTTGTTCCCATGAGTGTCATATCATATCTTTTCGCTTATTTTTTCTTCAGATCTGTGGGGCTGCCTACACGTCTCCCAAATCCATCCTGCCCCATTGCTGTTCCAAGCCAAGAATCATCAAGAATCCAAAAGCCAGTTTCAGCGGCGCTTACTCCGGGAGCGTTGTCGGGAGTTCCGCCGCCGCCCTGCACCCTGAGGCAATCTGAGGCACCAAACGAAATACGTGGACGAATTGTGATTGATTAGATGAGTTCAAGATTCAAGATTCTTGTGTGATCGAAGGAAGTTTAGAAGTCAAACTTCCGACAATATGGACAGATGGAAAAGCAGAGGTGGGAAGAGTCAGATAAGAGAAGAGCAGAAAAGAGAAGATCAGAGAAGAGAAAGAGTGAGAAGAAAGAAGATGCAGGTGCGGGAGAAGGTAGAAAAGTCGCGATTCAATGCGTCTTTCCAATGACTTGTGGCTCTGGAGGGTCGAAAATCAGGCTCGCTAAAGCGGCGGGTGCGGAGCCAGCTGGCCAGATGAGAGATGAAAAAGTGCACGCCGTTGTGGCGCAAAGCACATTTCCAAGTCAAAATGTACAAAACACTTCAGCTCCGGAGCACTTTAGAAGTTGCGCTGTCGAAAAAGTGCACGCCGTTGTGGCGCGAAGCACGTTTCCAAGTCAAAATGTACAAAACACTTCAGCTCCGGAGCACTTTAGAAGTTGCGCTGTCGAAAAAGCGCACGCCGTTGTGGCGCGAAGCACATTTCGAAGTCAAAATGCGCAAAACACACCAGGTTCGGACCACATTTGGAAGTTGCGCTG